GCCAGACTGGTGAATCATAGAATCATAGAATCATAGAATCATAGAGTTGGAAGAGACCACAAGGGCCATCGAGTCCAACCCCCTGCCAAGCAGGAAACACCATCAGAGCACTCCTGACATATGGTTGTCAAGCCTCTGCTTAAAGACCTCCAAAGTAGGAGACTCCACCACACTCCTTGGCAGCAGTGACTAGGAGCGGTTGCCAGGACCACATAACACCGGTCCTGAGAGATCTGCATTGACTCCCAGTGGATTTCTGAGCACAATTCAAAGTGTTGGTGCTGACCTTGAAAGCACTAAAGGGCCCAGTATATCTGAAGTAGCATCTCCACCCCCATCGTTCTGCCCGGACACAGGTCCAGCGCCGAGGGCCTTCTGGCGGTTCCCTCATTGCGAGAAGTGAGGTTACAGGGAACCAGGCAGAGGGCCTTCTCGGTAGTGGCACCTGCCCTGTGGAACGCCCTCCCTTCAGATGTGAAGGAAATAATCAGCTATCTTTTCTTTAAAAGACATCTGAAGGCAGCCCTGTTCAGGGAAGTTTTTAATATTTAATGCTGTATTTGTCAGGCCTGGTCGTTGTCCTCTTCAGATCACCACACAAACGCTTCTTGTTCTTTTATAACTTTTTATTGCGTATTAACAAAACAATCTTATAAACGGTTCTTAACTATTATCATCAGCATTGCAAACACAGCCTCTGAAATAGCCAGGTCTCGCTGAACAAGGTCCTGTCTGAGACGCTTTAATTGAGATAGATGGCTAGGCAAATCACCACCTTTCTCCAACTGCAGCCTGCACAGCTTCTTAAAGAAAATCACACTGGAACCAGCATTCTGCCTCAGATGCATATCTCTCAACTTATGCCAAACAGCTTGTGCAGTCTCTTGACCCTCTAAATTCACCAGCAAGTGGTCTGAAACACTCAAAATAATTGTCCCTCGGGCTTTCATATCTGCAGCATGCCACTCAGCCCAATCATCAGCATCCTCATCGGGAGGGTCATCTTCTATCGTGTGAAATAGCTTTTCCCTCTGTAAAAGCGCTTTCATCTTTACTTGCCAAACTGCATAGGTTTCAGGCGTGAGGAGAGGAAAGGACAGAGCCATCTGGCCAGAATGTGCACAGGCCATGTCTGCTATTACTTAGAGCAAGACACTTCCCTCGTGCAACACAGATAAAGCTTTGACTCCTTCAGCCACTCTCTCTCCCACTCAGAGTGCAATTAACAGGCAAACAGGGATGCTATCTTCTTCCTTTGGCAGTCAGCAACATACCTCCATAAATCAAGCAGCAGCAACAGCAACAGCGGCAGCTTGAATACTCTGCTCCAAAACAGCTCTGCTTCTGGGCACCGCAAATCAGTCCAGCATGCAGCGTCCGTTCCACCGTCCGGCAATCAGCAACAGAAACCTCTGGCGACTGGGACGACTGGGACGCCTGGGATGACTGGAACAACGCCAGGTCAGACGACTGGAACAACGACTGGGCCCATAACCGATGTCAGCATCGCCCTAGAGCCAGTGCACCAACTGGACTCTTGCACCTCAACCCCGACTGGGCTGGGCGAGCTGGGTAGCACCGCCAGAGACCTCCTTCCCGCAGGAAACGGTCACATGCTGTGGACTCACAGCTTAGAGCTGAGAGCACCGGACTCACTGTCTCAATACTTCAGTCGTTGCGCAGCAGAGTTTTGCAGAGTCTTGCAGAGTATAAACCACTCGGAGAGCAGCTCTGTAGAATATCTTCCTTTTATTCTGTAACTACAACTATGATACAAAACTATATACAGAGCTGAATATTCTAAGCATAAATCAATGCTACACTGAGAGTCTGCAGCTGCTCTTAGCAGCAATCTTATCTCTAGGATCTCCAACACTCTCACTCTCTCCGATACACTGACTGACTGACACTCTCACACACAGAGATATGTTGCTGGGCAGAATAAGTAGATAGGCAGGACATGCCTCCTCTTCTCTGGAGAGTCAGCAGAGACCATCAGGAGATGATAAGGAGATTCTTGGGTATGGGAGGGGTGAAATCTCCTCATCTGAGTACCTTGGCTCAGAGTTCCCCTTCTGGGACGTAGAGGGTTCCCCCTCTGTACAGCAACCCTCCTCTCTCTGTGAAATCCTTTGCATCACTCCCCCGTTTTCTATCACCTCTTTCTTTTTCTGAGCAAACCCATCTGGAATCTCAGGCCTAACTGCAGAGCGGCTTGCCCCACCTCTTCCAGGGTGTTCAACATTGGCATTTCCGCAAGTTCATTGTGAATCTCCTCGCAGAGTCCTGCTTTGAACAGGGCAATCGAGGCCTTCCCTTCCCACTCCAGTTGACAGGCATGCATCATAAAACTGGACCAATACTTTGCTACTGTTCTCCTTCCTTGCCTGAGGTTCAGGAACTCCTGTTCCAACTACGCCTATTGTGCGGCATTCCTGAGTATGTTGTCCAAGAGCTTCAAAAAGGCAGGTAAATTAGTGAGCACGTGGTCATTGACATCAGGTAAGGGGGAATCCATTGTCTAGCCGCCGCCCCCAGAAGCTCCACAGACGTGGCTATTCTTGCTTCATCATCTCTGTAGAATCATAGAGTTGGAAGAGACCACAAGGGCCATCGAGTCCAACCCCCTGCCAAGCAGGAAACACCATCAGAGCACTCCTGACATATGGTTGTCAAGCCTCTGCTTAAAGACCTCCAAAGTAGGAGACTCCACCACACTCCTTGGCAGCAAATTCCACTGTCGAACAGCTCTTACTGTCAGGAAGTTCTTCCTAATGTTTAGGTGGAATCTTCTTTCTTGTAGTTTGGATCCACTGCTCCGTGTCCGCTTCTCTGGAGCAGCAGAAAACAACCTTTCTCCCTCCTCTATGTGACATCCTTTTATATATTTGAACATGGCTATCATATCACCCCTTAACCTCCTCTTCTCCAGGCTAAACATGCCCAGCTCCCTTAGCCGTTCCTCATAAGGCATCATTTCCAGGCCTTTGACCATTTTGGTTGCCCTCCTCTGGACACGTTCCAGTTTGTCAGTGTCCTTCTTGAATTGTGGTGCCCAGAACTGGACACAGTACTCCAGGTGAGGTCTGACCAGAGCAGAATACAGTGGCACTATTACTTCCCTTGATCTAGATGCTATACTCCTATTGATGCAGCCCAGAATTGCATTGGCTTTTTTAGCTGCCGCGTCACACTGTTGGCTCATGTCAAGTTTGTGGTCACCCAAGACTCCTAGATCCTTTTCACATGTACTGCTCTCAAGCCAGGTGTCACCAATCTTGTATTTGTGCCTCTCATTTTTTCCCCCCAAGTGCAATACTTTACATTTCTCCCTGTTAAAATTCAGCTTGTTTGTTTTGGCCCAGTACTCTAATCTGTCAAGGTCGTTTTGAAGTGTGATCCTGTCCTTTGGGGTGTTAGCCACCCCTCCCAGTTTGGTGTCATCTGCAAATTTGATCAGGATGCCCTTGAGTCCATCATCCAAGTCGTTGATAAAGATGTTGAATAAGACCGGGCCCAAGACAGAACCCTGTGGCACCCCACTAGTCACTCTTCTCCAGGATGAAGAGGAACCATTGATGAGCACCCTTTGGGTTCGGTCAGTCAGCCAGTTACAAATCCACTGTGTGGTAGCATAGTCAAGACCGCATTTTACCAGCTTCTTTACAAGAATATCATGGGGCACCTTGTCAAATGCCTTGCTGAAATCAAGGTAGGCTACATCCACTGCGTTCCCTTCATCTACCAGGCTTGTAATTCTGTCAAAAAATGAGATCAGGTTAGTCTGACATAACATATTTTTCAGAAATCCATGCTGACTATTGGTGATCACAGCATTCCTTTCTAGGTGCTCACAGACTGTTTGCTTAATGATCTGCTCCAGAATCTTCCCTGGTATTGATGTCAGACTGACAGGGTGGTAATTATTTGGGTCCTCTCTTTTCCCTTTTTGAAAATAGGGACAACATTTGCCCTCCTCCAGTCTGCCGGGAATTCGCCTGTTCTCCAGGAATTCTATTGCTTGCAGTGTCATTGGTTCCCACATGAACCAAGAGGAAGGGGTATTTGTCAGTGGGTTTTATGATTTCTTGCAGTCGTTCAGTTACATCTTGGATCTTAGCCCCGGGGAGACAGCACACTTCCCGAGACATCTTGTCAGGCCCACAGATCACTGCTTCTGTTCCCCTCAGTAGGGAATCCCCTATCACCACTACACGCCTCCTCTTAGGTTTGGTCGGGGTTCTTCCGTGAGCTGTCCGTTCCAAGGTCGCCTGCACATTCCCTGAGGACTGACTTTGCTGCTCGTCTTCATATACCTGATCGACTGTAATGAGGGAGAGATCCTCAAATGGAGTCTGTTCTTCGTCTTCCATGCTAGGGGAGAGGACCTCAAAGCGATTGTGTATTCTTCCCCTTTAGGACGTAGGCAATATAAGCAGGAGGCTCGGAAGGAGTCATACTCTGCACTATTCCCATTGAAATGTGGGGGAGGGGGGACTAGGTTTTTTGCATTCAAGTCTGGCAGCTGCTGTTGCTCGCTTGTTGGCTCCAGCCTGACAAATACCGATAACTGAACAAACTTTGTTGCATTACATTGTTGATTAAATTAGCTTTCCATTGATAAATAATTTCACAATATTATTAATAATACTTTTATTGTCATTGTACAACCTGTGTACAATGAAATTCAACGAGCCTCCCTCCCAAAGCAGTGGTGTTATGAGCCATCAAACCTCTGAAATACACTTTCCTCCAAAAGGATTCTACAATTTTACCACTACTGTATATCAAGCAAAGCAACATGCAACAACCATTAGAATCTAATAATAAATACATTGGTTAATGACAGACAACAAAGGCAATGAACACACACGCAACTCCCTTCAGTTCTCCTTCATTTGTTCCTGAGGCTCAAATCTCTTTTTGCCTCCATTGCAGATTGTGATGAATTGCAGATTGAGAACAAGGATGAACACGACAAAATCCCCAGAGAGGAGAAGCCACGTAAGAATTTGGAGTGTGGAGAGAGCTCCCATTCCAGTTCCCAACAAAGAAATCTCAATGGAAAGAAACACTATCAGTGCATGGAATGTGGAAAGAGCTTCAGTATGAGCTCCGATCTCACTAAACATCAAAGAATTCATAAAGGGGAGAAACCCTATCAGTGTATGGAATGTGGAAAGACCTTCAGTCGGAACGACTCTCTCACTTCCCATCAAAGAATTCATACAGGAGAGAAACCCTATCAGTGTGTGGAATGTGGAAAGAGCTTCAGTCACAGCTCTGCTGTCACTAAGCACCAGAGAATTCATATAGGGGAGAAACCCTATCAGTGCTTGGAATGTGGAAAGAGCTTCAGTTTGAAGGCCTCTCTCACTTCCCATCAAAGAATTCATACAGGGGAGAAACCATATCAGTGCATGGAATGTGGAAAGAGCTTCAGTCAGAGCTCTAATCTCAATTCCCATAAAAAAAATCATACAGGGGAGAAACCCTTTCAGTGTATGGAATGTAGAAAGAGCTTCATGAAGAGCTCCCATCTCACTTCTCATCAAAGAATTCATACAGGGGAGAAACCCTATCAGTGCGTGGAATGTGGAAAGAGCTTCAGTTACAGCCAAAGTCTGACTTCCCATCAAAAAATTCATACAGGAGAGAAAACCTATGAGTGCATAGAATGTGGAAAGACCTTCAGTCGGAACAACTATCTCACTTCCCATCAAAGAATTCATACAGGGGAGAAACCCTATCAGTGCATGGAATGTGGAAAGACCTTCAGTCAGAGCTCTGATTTCACTAAGCACCAGAGAATTCATACAGGAGAGAAACCCTATCAGTGTGTGGAATGTGGAAAGAGCTTCAGGGAGAGCTCCAAACTCACTTCCCATCAAAGAATTCATACAGGCGAGAAACCATATCAGTGCTTTGAATGTGGAAAGAGCTTCAGTCAGAGCGCCCATCTCACTTCCCATCAAAGAATTCATACAGGGGGAAAACCCTATCAGTGCTTTGAATGTGGAAAGAGCTTCAGTCAGAGAAATGATCTTACTTCCCATCAAATAATTCATACAGGGGAGAAACCCTATCAGTGTGCGGAATGTGGAAAGAGCTTCAGTCAGAGCTCTAATCTCACTTCCCATCAAAGAATTCATACAGGGGAGAAACCCTTTCAGTGCATGGAATGTGGAAAGAGTTTCAGTCAGAGCTCCTCTCTCACTTCCCATCAGAGAATTCATACTGGGGAGAAACCCTATCAGTGCTTTGAATGTGGAAAGAGCTTCAGTCAGAGCGCCCATCTCACTTCCCATCAAAGAATTCATACAGGGGAAAAACCCTATCAGTGCTTTGAATGTGGAAAGAGCTTCAGTCAGAGTAATGATCTTACTTCCCATCAAAGAATTCATCCAGGGGAGAAACCCTATCAGTGTGCGGAATGTGGAAAGAGCTTTAGTCGGAGCTACTCTCTCACTTGTCATCAAAGAGTTCATATTGGGGAGACATCCTTCATTATATAGCTTTAGGAGACAAGGAAATCTGCACTTTGTAAACCAGGCCTTTGGCTGATTGATATCTAATGTCCTTTTAAAATGTGGTGAGAAGAGGGTTACACATGTGTATTTTGTGTTTTTATATTGTGTTTTTGTTTTATGTTGTAACTGTCCTGACACGTGGCAACAGGAGTCAAACTTTAGAGGCTGAGGGTTTTTTGCCCCCCAATAAAACATTTGAGGGTGCCACCCTCCCAGTTGGTAGGCTTTGCCATTCTAATGGCATGCATGCATCATGTGATCGATTAAGCAAGGCAGGCCTTATCTGACCCACCAACAATATTATATTCAAGTCAGCACCACTGGGTCAAGTGGTAAGCAAATTAAATAAATACATAAATTGTCTTCGTTTGCACGTTCCAGCTTGTCAATATCCTTATTCATTATCATTTTTAAAATTTATGTACCCTTCACCTGAAGATTTCACAACATAAACACAAAGGATGAAAGCATGGCTTTCACAAAAACAAGTAAATCCAGAGAAATCTCTCCTCCCCTTTTTTTGGATGGAGTTACAAACTTTGTTGATCAGGGGAGAGCTGTGGAAATAGTGCATCTTGATTTCAGTAAGGCTATTGACAAAGTCCCCCCATGAAATATTTACATGGAAGCTGGTAATATGTGGGCTGAACGAGGAAACTGTTAGGCGGATTTGACTGACCGAACCCAAAGAGGACTCCTTCATGGTTCCTCATCATCCTGGGGAAAAGTGACAAGAGGGGTGCTGCAGGGTTCTGTCCTGGGCCCGTTGTTGTTCAGCATCTTTATAAATGACTTGGATGAAGAAGCTGAGGGGGTGCTCATCTCATTTGCGGAGGACACCAAACAGGGAGAAAAGGCAATGTGGTAGAAGGCAGAATCAGATCAAGGGCAGGAATAGTACCACTCCATTCTGCCTTGGTCAGGCCCCACCTTGAATACTGTGTGCAATTCTGGGCACCACAAGTTAAGTATCTTAAATATTGGTTGCCTGGAGAAATCAAAAGGTGGGGAAACACAATCCATATTCCTTTTATAACTTGTGGCCAATGTTTATTGAATACATGTAGTTTTAATACTGTTGTAGGAATCCACCCAGCACTCAGTAATTGTTATTAAACATTAAATATGGGGCGCTTAAGCACTACCCGCCCCCCCGATCTTTCAGAGCGAAAATACCTCTGTGGGCGGGATCGGCTAATAGGATAGCTTCAAGAACTGGGTCAGTCACCAACCCTGTGTGTACCTAGAGAAAACCACTGTAGGGATAGTAAGTTGTGATGGTAGTGAGTCACACATGAGTGCAGTTCATTTAAAGTTGGTTTTATTCCAAGAAAAGAACAGATTACCAGGAGCTCCTCTCCCGCGAGCTGGTCGTCATTACGATGATGACTCAACTAAGTTCTCAGTGTCACGTTTCATCCTACAAATGCAACGTGGGAGGAAACTTCTATTCGTATGCAGGGACTAATCACGTCCTCTTTCCTGTAACCCCCCTCCACGCTCTTGAATACTCAAAGACTGGCCAGCCATTTCTGAGAGGCTATCTGTGGAGTTCGGCCTTTCACCTACATTCTGGGAGAGTGTTTCCATGATAAACCCCCTTCCTTTTGTATCTTAAGAAAGAAAAATTGGGACGTCATTGGTCTCCAGGAAACACATATAGCAAAGAAACATGACAGAGTTTTGATAGATAAGAAATTAGGAACAGAATACATAGCTCCAGATGTTTCCAAAAAGAGAGGAATAGTTATTTTATACACACACACACACACACACACACACACACACCGAAAGATAGATGCAAAAATCCTACTTAAAGATGATAGATGATGAAGGAAGAATATTAGGAATACAATTGACAAAAGGCAGAAAAGAAATAATTTTGGTGGGGATGTTAGGATATTTCCGTTCCACCTTAAAAGGGAGCAGGCTTTGTGAATCACAGAGTCTGCGTATTTCCTGTTCACAGGAAGTTTATGTTTTGTCTTTGCTTTCGTTTCTCTCTCTGTGCCTGGACACTGAAGCAGGCAGTCATGTTTTTTCTTTGTTCTGACCAACGCTGAATAAACTTAAGCAATGCTCTCCTGCGTGCATCTTTTGCTGTACATTATCTGTTGATAGAGCGTGCATTAGCTCTGGAATGTGGCAAGCTATTTCTGGAGCCCGTGTCGCTAATTGCTGATACTGCGTGTCTAGGGGGGATCGATGGACGTCCGGAATCGACGTGGGGCCTGTTGGGGTATTTCCGTTCCACCTTAAAAGGGAGCAGGCTTTGTGAGTAACAGAGTCTGCGCATGTCCTGTTCACAGGATGTTTACGTTCTGATGTTTCCTTTCGTTTTCCCAGTTGGCCGGAGACGCTGACAAAGAACGGTCATGTTTTTCTTTGTTCTGTTCTACGCTAAATAAAGTCTGTAAATATGCTAAATATGCTCTTCTGCGGTGCAAGCTTTTGGCTGTGTTTCTGCTGATAAACAGTGTGCACAAGCCTGGAATGTGGCTAGGAATTTCTAAGGCTTCGTGCCGCTAACTGCTGGATCTGCCTGTCTACGGGAGATCGATGGACGCCCAGAACTCCGGCTTGGGCCATGATGGACTATATCTCCCTGGCAGTTTCCCAACAACAAGGTTTCGGGCCCAGATTCACAGCACCTACAGAAGAGTAAAAGCTGCAACAGACTGCGTCAGCGAGGTATGTTGTGGGGAAAGCGAAAGAAAGGGACGCTTTTCTGTTTACCTCGGCAAGGAGTCTTTGATCTCCGGCAAGGCTTAATTGGCCTGGGAGCCGAGCCAGTGAGTACGTGATTAATGAGCTGCCAAGATAAGGAGTCTTTGAAGGCAAAAGACTCACGGCTAAAGCAAAAAGCTGGAAATGGAGTTTTTCCAAGCTTCTGGAGATGCTGACTGTCCTAAGTTACATGGGCAGAATTATGAAACCTGGGCAAAATGGTGTGAGAGTTTGCTGCGTCAGTTTCGGGTGTGGCATACCGTGAATGAGGCCCCCCCAGTTCCTCTGACAGAGAGATGGAAAGCCGCTGATTCGAAAGCGATAGACGTAATAGTCTTATCCGTATCTCTTGAGGAAATTAAGACGCTGGCTGGCAACACCACTGCACGTGGAATGTGGAATGCTTTGAAAAAGCTCATTTGCCAGTAATCCCAGCCCAGAGTTTGACTGCATCGGAGGTCCTAGCTGTTTCCCAGAATGCGAGTGAATGCAGGGATGCTGAGGGCACCGGTTGCAAGCTGCAAGGGGAGCTGACCGTCACGTCATCCCAGGCAGCATACCAGCCTCCAGGGGGAGCCAAGGAGTCGGCAGCTGAGAGCTCTGTTTCTCGTGAGAACCAAGGTCATCGCCTTTGCAGAGGCCGGAAAGGCAAAGGTAAACAAAGTCAGATGCCTGCAGATGGCCAGGAGCAGAGGGAGGGTGAAGAGCCCGCGCCAGGGAAAAACAAAGCGTTGTTTGCTGGCACAGCTTCACCAAAGGCTAAAGGCACGTCTGCTGACCAGAAGCAGGGGGGCAAGCTGCAAAAGCCCACGCCAGTGGAAAGCAAGGTTTTGCTTGCTGGCACAGCTTCACCAAAGGCTAAAGGCAAGTCTGGTGGCCAGGAGCAGCAGGGGGGCAAGCTGCAAAAGCCCACACTGGTGCAAAACAAGGGTTTGCTTGCTGTAAAGACTGCTCCAACAGCCAAAGGCAGCTTTGTTGTTAATTCAGGCTGTACGCGCCACGTCTCGAAGGACCGCCACCTCTTTATCTCCTTCAAGCCTCAGGAAGGTGAGATCCACCTGGCTGATGGAAGGACGTTGCAAATTGCAGGAGAAGGGACTGTGAAACTTGCAAGTTTGCACACAACCATCAGCGGTGTACTTTATGTTCCAGGCGCTGCAAGCAATTTGCTGAGTGTCCCGCAGCTTACTGGGCGTGGTTTTCAGATTTCCTTCAAGAGGAGCGTCTGTGTCATCAGTAAAGGCAAAGAGGACTATTTGCATGCAAAGTTTATGGATGGTTTGTTCCATATAACTTATGAGGACACTGCTGTTGTATCTAATGCTGATTCTTGTTGTGTTGCACAAACTAACAAAGTTCTTCATGCAGGTTGCATTCACGATGCGCATCGAAGGTTTTGTCACCTCTCTTGGAAAGCACTGGCCAAGATGCCAGAGGTGGTTGAGGGTTTGAACATCAAACCCTGTAAATTTCACATGAAATGTGTATCTTGTGCAGAGAACAAGGTGAAGGTTGCTCCAAAAGGCAAGGAGTCTAGCAGGCAGGCTTCCAAACCCTACCAGCTAGTGCATGCAGACCTGGTTGGTCCACTTGCGCCCTCTTTAGGAGGAGCAAGGTACTTCATGGTTCTGATTGATTCCTTTTCCAGGTACATTCATGTGTATTTGCTCGAACAGAAATCGCAAGCGTTTCCGAAGTTTAAGGCATTCTGTGCTTGGTTGGAAAATGTGCACGGTAAACGTATTTCCTGTTTGTTTACTGATCGGGGCGGGGAGTTCACTTCTCAGCAGTTTGAAGCTTTCCTGACTGAGAAGGGAATCCAGCATGACATGTCAACGCCCAGATCGCCATGGATGAATGGGCTTGCGGAGAGAGCAAATCAGACATTGCTGCAAGGAATAAAAACCTTGTTGCATGATGCCAATCTCCCTGATAAGTTTTGGGGGGAAGCTCTGGGGAATTTGGTTTACACCTTTAATCGCAGATTGTCATCACCCATTGGTTGTACCCCCTATGAGAAGATGTTTGGCAAGAAACCCAACACCAAACACATGAAAATCTTTGGTTCTGACGTGTGGGTACATTCCCCACAAACCAACAAGCTTGGGAAGCGTGGGGCACATGGTTTGTTCATGGGGTACGAAAAAGGTGCATACAGGGTATGGATGACTAACTCTAAGTCCATTAAGTTCACAAGGAGTGTTGAGTACAATCCTAAGTGGGGGGAAAATGTGGGAATTTTCCAGAGTTTCCCAGAGGAGGATGAAGGTGATGTCAAGCAAGCAGCTAAAGCTGAGGAAGCTGCTGAGGATGATGATGAGGATGATGATGATGATGATCAGAGTTCGGATTCCAGTTCAGTGGGCGGCGCTGCTGCTGGTGTCAGTGACAGTGATGACACAGCAGACTACCAGAGCGCAAAGGCCTCAGTCAGACCATCTGATGCGTCTGACAATGAACTGGAAGAACCACTGTTCACCATTGGTCATTTTTCTCCTAAGAAGGAGGAGATGAGTCCAGAAGACTTGCGTCTAGTACGTAGGTCTGAAAGGGCGACCAAAGGCAGACCTCCAAAGAGGTATGCTGATGAGTTTGCTAAGACAGCAACTGCTGTTCTTAGTAGCTCAGAGAAGGTGTGGGAACCTTCAAGCTTCAAAGAGGTTCAGGAGTTAACCTCTAAAGATGCTGAGCCTTGGCTTAATGCCATGAAGGCTGAAGTTGATTCCTTGAACAGGAACCAAACTTGGGAACTGGTACCGGTAGTCCCAGGAATGAGACTGGTTGGCAGCAAATGGGTCTTCAAGGCCAAGACAGACCAGAATGGCAAGGTAGTCAGACACAAAGCCAGATTGGTTGCCAGAGGTTTTTCACAGGTACCAGGACAGGATTACCACGAGACCTACTCACCCACAGTCAAATATGAGAGCATTCGGCTGATGCTCAAGATCGCTGCGGAGGAGAAACTGCATGTTTCCCATCATGACATTAATACAGCTTTTTTGTACGGGATTTTGAATGAACAGCTGTTCATGCTTCCACCTGATGGGATGGAGATACAGAAGGGAATGGTCTGTAAACTGCGGAAATCTTTATATGGTCTTAAGCAGAGTGCCAGGTGTTGGAACACAAAACTCACTGAGACATTGCTTTCTCTAGGTTTTCACCAGGGCAAAGCTGATCCATGTGTGTTTGTCAAGGAGGAGGGCCAAAACAAACTGTATTGTTTATGTTTTGTTGATGATCTTCTGATGTTTTGGAAGAATCAGGCTTTTTACCAAAGCACCCTAGCTCAGCTGAAGGAGCACTTTGACATGAAGGATCTTGGTGAGGTATCCAACTATCTTTCTCTGCAGGTGGAGAAGGACCAAGCAGGTAATTTTCTGGTACATCAAACACAGAAAATTGCTGATGTATTAACCAGGTTGAATTTGGTTGATGCAAACCCAGCAGACACACCGATGGTGACAGGTTACCAGGTAGACAGTACTGCTGAAGCGTTTTCTGACACAACGCTGTACAGATGCATTCTAGGCAAGCTGAATTTCATTGCCAGATGTTCAAGACCTGACATAGCTGTAAGCTGTAATCTGCTTAGCAGACATGCCAACAATCCTACGGTTCAGGATTGGAAAGCTCTGAAGCGCATAGCCCGCTATTTGAAAGGGACTATGCACTACAGGCTGAGGTTCACCAGTCAGAAGACTGGAGGTCTTGAAATCTTTGCAGATGCAAGTTTTGGAAGTGACACCACGGAT